TTTTTTTTTTTTTTTTTTTTTTTTTTTTTTTTTTTTTTTTTTGTTTTCTAGAAAATAAAAATTCGAAAAAAATTCCCATAATTGTTAAAAAGTCGCATATGCATGTAATGCACACCAGCGTAGACATTACATTGAACAATAAATATATGTCTCTACCATACAATTCCATCAAATAATTGTATACGAAAGTATTTGTTGTTTATGTAATTTTTCAGTTTTTTGTTTTTTTTTTTTCATTACAATATTCACAGTTGGCAACAGCAATAAGAATAGTATTCAAATGAAATGTAAATTCTATTTTTTTTTTTTTTATTTTTTTTTTTTGAACCAGATTTATTCTTTTTAAGAGAGTTTTGTTTTTAATTAATTTTAATTAAATTTACTTTAACTGTTATTTACTTAATTGGGAAGTCATTATATGATTTTAGATTAGTTTACACAAAAAAGTTCACTAACTTTTAACTAATTAAAACTATTTCTTCAAATTTTGACCTATGGTAAAGGGCGTCGCCCTTGGGGGGGACGACAGAAAGATTACGCAATGCGTCTTTTTATAGAGTTTTTAGAAGATTCGCAAAGCATCTATTAAGCCAATAGAAAAAAATTCACTTTCTGAGAAATCTAGACCATAACACTACTTCCAACTCAAAAGAATCCTAAAAAAATATATTCCGTTCTCGCTGCATAGTGGTTTCCCCTTAAATCCAACAAAGTGAAACCAGAAACAGTTCGATAAGATCGACCAAAAGTTAGGAAAAGATTGCCAATGTTTTTGCTCGATCTTAGACAGAATGTCTTAAAATTATACCGATTTTTCTTTCCGAATTGATATAAAGTGTTTACTGGCCACAATTCTTGAGATATTTTAATGAAGTTCTATACACCAACTTGTGTGTCCGGCCCAGGAACGAACGCTATTGGAAATGTTGCGGGTGGAAACACTTTTTCGACAGCCTATTTTGAAAAGTCTTTGCAACTTTAGAGTAATATAGAGTATTTGATAGCGGTCGAGGGTCGATTTATTTCGTAAAAACTAATTTGTTTCGTCAGTTTTACGGATCTTATCGAAACTATGAACTAAGTGTGAAACAATAGCCCTGCCATTCACGGCCTGACTTCCTTTTTCGAAAGCATAACAAAGAAAGAGTGATCGGTTATTCTGTCAATACGATATATATAACATTTAATATATTTTATTGTAGAAAATCCTGTCACTCTGTGCCGGTCATATATCTTATTCTACGTATTTTCCGTGCCCCAATTAAGTTGGTTTTCAAGGTAAACGTGACGAGCGACGTAGAATCACATTATATCCCAAACGACGATTACGACCGAAAAGGTCGTAACTGGCAGATAAGGACAGACAGCGGACTTGCTGGCTGCTGGACTAGGCAAACATACTTATACGTATACTTTATATGGTCTCTGATGCATATTTCGATGCATTAGAAGTATTTGACAAAGTTAATACAAGCATTGCAGGGATGTAAATGCTTCAATCCGATAACGTCGTCATCGATAGATGGGTTGCATTAAAACTTTTGCTTTATTGTCTTAATAAAACGCAGCAATCTTTCGTAGTACAACATTAACGTAATATTTCCGACCAATAGCACGATGCGCAAAATGCAAGGTATGACGATCGTTCGACTTCATTCCTTACATACTCCTATAAATATTAAATGAAATTCTTACAAACAAACAGTCTCGGTTTCTAAGGAGCGACGCATAAATTCAGATCGTTCTCGACAACGCTACATCAGAACTTTTAACTTTCTCATGGGCACAAGAACGTTCAATTCGTAACTTGTCGGTATGATTACTGCATCCGCAGAATAATCTCAAATACTGAATGTAAATGAAGCGGTTTCCGAACCCGTTTTCCTAGAACGCGAAACTAGTCTGCCGTGTTATAAGGGGTATTAACATAGATTTCGTGAACTATTGATTGAGTGGGTGAATGGTTTGTGATGCCGATTATTATATTCAGACATAAACATTGCGGACGTCGTAAAGTATACGGATTTTCGACACAACTTAATTAACACTGAACCACTACATGAACCTGAGAGTCGATTGGATCGAGTATTTCCGTTTGTCCATACATTTTCCGTTTTTCTTTTGAACACTTAATAGAAAGTGATAAAGAGGAGAATAGAAAAGCTGCGAGTCGGTACTATCTCGTGATTTAACGCAATATATATTCACACTCATCGCCTTTGTTGGAAAATAAAAAATAAACTATAAAAGTGAATATCTGAAAATGTCGATAAAAACGATCTACAGCTTATAAGAGATAAATGATCTAAAATTTTGCAAAAGCATGAGAATTATGTGATGAGTACTCAGAGCAGAACAGTATTTAGACCGACATAAATTGTATATGTAGTGGCTTGTGATTTGAATGAGCAAACAGCATTCTTGTCTAAATTAAAAATTATTTCTTACCTTTTAATTATCAATTTTGTTAATTTGTTCTTATCAAGTTTTTTTTTTAATTTTATTTTTTTATTTTCCTTCTTCGTTTTTTTTGTTGGTAGTAAGACAGAGAAAAATGCAGCTGGTACTAGGCTTGTGTTTTTCTTTATTTTCTTTTTTCTATATATTTGTGATGATTAAATGTTATAATATAGGTTTTAAATAATTTTATTTAATTAAGAAGAAAAAATTTTTTTTTCTAGTAAGCGCGTTGAGAAAATTTTTCTTTTCGTTAATTTTTACACAGATGAAATTTATTTTTGGTTTTTTTGTCCTTTTATTTTTTTATTTGCAGTTAATATTTATACACAAATCTTAGCCCTTTTGTTTTTTTTTAGAAAATAATTTATTTAGTGATTATTATGTACTCTTTTAAATTACACTTATATTTAGTTTATTTGCAATTATTTTTTGTTTTCTAGATTTTCACAGATATCTTGAGGACTGACTTTGTTTCAGAAATTTACATTTAATTATAATTATTTTTTTTTTTTTAGTTAAATTAAATTCACATTTTTTTTTTTTTTTTTTAGTATGGATTTTTATTTATTTACTTTTAATTTTACTTTTACATTTTATTAGCACAGCTCAACTTTATCTTTAAAAATTTTTTATAAGTCACACTAGTTTTTATTTACTTACTTAGATTTACAAGTTTGAGAATTGAGTTTTAAAGTTTCTATTCATTTATTTGCCTTAAAAACTGCTAAACTTGCCGTATTTACTATTTATTTATTTATTTTTTTTATTTAATTTTTTTTTTTTTATACCAAAAAAACCTTCATTGATAATTATCACAAAAACAGATTGACTGAAAAGAAAAATGAAAGAAGAAAAAAATTAGTACAAAAAATATATTAAAAATTATAATAAGAATGAAAAAGATAAATTAATCCTAACTTTAAAAATAAAATTACAGAACTAATTATTGTGGTTTTCTCTTTTCTCTTTTTTTGTGGTATAGGGAACATCACTCAGTAAATTCATAGGATGGCATATGAATTTCATCGTCATTGACGTATTCATACGATTTTTGGATGATAGCAACTTACAAAAGACACCGGTTTTGTTTTTGCAAAACAATGAACGAATGTGAATTTCCTGTGTAGGCTCTCTAAAGCGACTGTAACTTGTACTTGTCTGATACATTTCTTTTGAAGCTTGGTACTCTCCAAAAACCATATGGATTCGTCAATACTCATCCTACACGTCTGTATAATGAGTGATGTGTTATAAAAACAAAAGTGAAAAAAAGCCTGAAACAGAAAGAGTCACTGAACTTGAATGTGGAGAGAAATGGGTTTTGCAAAAACTATTAATTAGCTAACAGGTTTTTGCTACTACACTACACATTTCAGCTTAAAAAATAATATAAACATACTTTCGACATTGAATATACACTGCCTTAAATTAATTGATAAATTTACTGCCGTCTTTAAATGCTTTCAATTTTTATTGTTTTATTATGATGCATAGCTCAGTTTTAATGTCTGTGATTGGAAAACACTTCTCTTAAGAAACACACCGACAAGGATGGCTAAGTAGCTTCGAAGTGTTGCATTAACTGAAGGCTCGGTACAATGTCGCACAGATGCACGGGCATGTGGGCAGACGGACAGACCATTTTGGTGGACATATAGCAAGTGCTTCTGGATCTTGCATATATTCGCATAAATTCAATATACCCTTGTACTACGAATGGTGTAGAGTAGAAAAACACGCTTTGCCTAATCTTGATAACGGTAAGGTTGAAGGCTTGATGTATTAATACATTGTTGTAGATTTTAATATTAAACCAATGTGCTTAGATTTTTTTCATGATTCTGGTATAAAACTAAATGTCGTACAAATATCGTATCGCGAAGATGATTAACTAAAAAATACGGAAAGTTTTGAATTTGCAGTCGGAGTTTTAAAATCGGATAAGAAAAGTAAAAAAAAAAAAAAATTCAACTTCAAATTTAAAGGAGTAAAACCTTTTTGACTTTTGAAGTTGTTATATCCAAACTTTAAGCGCCTGGTAACAAAATCGTATATGTGTCGTATGTCGGTACAAGCTTTTATTGTTGGCACTAACAGTCATTTGAAATTTCAGGGAAGTTTTAACCAGTAATAAATTTATATTCGGCTGGACCGGAATCTCGCGTAACCACCATCATTACGATCTTTAGCGCCGCATGTTTTCATTCGCGATTATAAAAAAGTGAATGACATAAAATTTATCTTCATTTATTTCTTAGTCCACAGAAAGATATTATAAGGAAAAATTAATGGATTACGTCGTAACGACCGCAGCTAGCACACTTAGCATGTCGAATTCTACTCTCTCCTCAAAGTAAATATGGAAAATTTCAGCTTTTGATCTCAAAATCCATAAAATTTTTGCTGAACAAAACGGAGTTGTATGCAGTTTGCGCCTGTGCTCTAACCAATTTGGTCCGTTTTCAATACCAACTTGCGAGCAGAAACTTCCAATGTTTCTATCAAATTTGAATTCAACATCTTCATTTTTTGCGGTCAGACAATGGCGGACAGACATGGCTTAATCAGTTCAAAATTTTGCGCTGACCAAGAATACATATACTTTATGGGATCTCTGAAGTTTCCTTTTGGATTGTTGCGAACATTATGACGAAATAAGTATACATCTCATCTCTCGGTGGTGGATAGAAAAACTATGAAAGCATTTTCCAAAATGGGAAAATGTATTATGCAAAAAACTCGTATAAAATTGCTTTTAAAATATTAATAAAATATTTATAGTCATTAAAACGATTGTGCTAACTAACCATTTATCTTAAAAAAAGAAAGAGTGTAGCGCTCATCCTACTTTTACTCCTAGAATTTAATTGTTTAGTATAACTAATTTATAATTGCAACAATAACAATAATAGTTAATGAAAATATTCGTGTTGATGATTGAAAGTTAGGAATGTGTTATGGCATAGAGACAACAATGCGATCTAATGAAGTGATGAAAACAACCACATAAGAGCAAATAAAAATTCAGTGTCATTTGGAAAATCTTTTTCGGCTACCGTCATATTGTTTATTACCTAATAAGGAGTATTAAGCGTTCAGATTTATGAAAGAATTTTTTGGCTTATGCTCCACAATAATCAAGTTTTTCTGAAATTTACTTCCTAGACTACTCTTTTTCTTCCCGTTAAAGGAACCGCTTCTTAGTATTTCTTTGCAATCAATAAAAGCAATTAATTCGAGATAGCTAACTGCTTTAAAGGAAAATTGCCATAGATCCTGCAATATATGAACTAAGAGATCGAATTCTTTTACAATTAAACGGAATTCGTACCAACTTAATGTAAAAAACGTTTACATTGATATTGTGAGCTCGCCAACGACAATATTAATTGAAAATTGAAAATGAATTAAGAGCTAAAGATGTCATATTTAATTGTAAAAAATTTCGATTTCGGTAGGATTTTTGCTCAGAAAGATTTCCTCATATTAATTTGGTCATGGCTTTTGCAAGCGCTTAAAGAGCAATAAATGTCTGGCCAACTGCCCAATCTCTGTTTTTCACCTCTGAATTGAAACTGAGTGCATATGACATGTCACTTGCGAAAGCCTACAGCCATATGTTTCTGTCCATTCCTCCGAGTTCTATTTTTCATTTCTGAACTGAAACAAAGGGCATATAAAAAAATGTAGATCCACAAGGGAATTAATAGAAGCTTCAAATTTCTTACCAGACATGAAATTAAAATTTAAAAGAAAATGCAACGCATTTCCATTCAAGAAAAAGTTACTTAGATCCGAGTTTAGACAAACGGAACAAAGCTGCCTAAGCAAACTTGCACACTGAACTTTTACGTGAAATCACTACTTTGAGCTAAATAAAATATAAAAAAATCGAAAAAATAAAATATTAAACATTCATTAAGAAGAGGATTAAAAAAAATGACGCTGTCTCAACTATTCACTTTTACTTTATTTTTTCGTGATATATTAAAAACAAGAAAATTAAAAAAAAAAAAACCTAATTATGAAGGGATTGGTTCTGATCCATCAGTGGGGATTTTACGTAGCCCTAAACGTGTTGGTTCATCGAATTTCGTTACGGTTGCATTTTGCATATGAAACGCAAAAAATACATAAGCAGACAGACGGAAAGACTGACAGCGAGCAATACGACATAGTCAGACCTAAAATTAACATAATAAATCGTAACTCTAAGATATCTCGAATTATTCTATTTATTCGATACAGAATCAACGTAAACCGATATAACCTTGTATCGCATATATAGTGTGAGGAGCCGAGTATTAAAATTAAGAAATCAGAAAGCCAACGTTTCTAGTTTTTTTGAAAATTTGTCAACCAATTCTGATGACATATTTGTTAGCAAAAAAAAAAGAAAAGAAAAACCAATTTTCGCTCAATTCAATCTTAAGACGAATTTTCTTATGCATTTTCGAATATTTCATTTTTCGATTTTATTTTTTTCTCACTTTTTCAGTTTCTTTTTATGAAAAATTTTGTAAAACATGTTACAATATGCAAAAGACTTTTATGACTAAATTGATGACAACAACGCTTAGATAAGTTCAAAAACCTGAGAAAATAAATATTTGTAAATATAAAAATATTTTTGCACTTTCTATTTTCAAATTATTTATAACTCAAAATGATTATAAGAAATTCGTAAAATTTTAACTGGTGACACAAGACTAACAAAAAATGTTGCTTTAAAAACGTGGTTTTCAATGAATGAATAAAAAAAGTGGATTGAAAACTCGGGAACTGAACACACTTAAGAAAGGCTAAAATATATTCACTTGTTAAGAAAAAAAATTGCATATACGTTCACTTATAACCAATTTAGCGCGACGATGAGGGATACTTCACACACAACGTAATTTGTTTCTTAGATTTTTTTCCATTGTAAGATTCATTGTGCATTCGAAAAAGAAAGAAAACCTGGATAACACATAACGTGCTTACGTAAAGATTTCCATGGATTAATTTGACCATTTCTAATACTGAGCTTCAAAAGACAATTATAAATAAATTCAAACACTACTCAACCTCGCGCCGCTTTATTTTATCATATAAAGAGGTTTATGGTAAAGGAAGCGCTTTTCTTGCATTTGCAAAATTTAAAAATTTTATAAAATTTACTTTAAATGTGGGAGAAGAAAACTCTGTATGCCTGGATGAAGATATTTGATTACTCATATCGCTTTTAAGCCAAAAAACAAGAAAACTAGAAAATGGGTTCTAAACGTTTTCGCTCTTATTTTCTAAATAAATAATTCACAATTTTCAAGGCGATCATATTTTTTCCTCGTCTTCTTTAAAAAGTCTTTGTAAACGGTTATCTTAATTTTAAAGTCGATCTATATTAGTTGTAGATTATTAAAGTCCATATTATTAAAATTAACATGTTCAAATTTTGCTGCAATTAAGAGAATCTATTTTAACTTCCACGATTACAGTGGTTCCAGTAATACCTATTAGATGGACGCAGGGACGAGACGTCACACGATGGTCGAAAATGAATTCATTTTGTAGAATCACTAATGCATATAAGCAATCGAGTAATCTTTCATAATTCAAAAAAGACTTAAGGGACGAATTGCTTAGAATTGTATCGGGAAAGGGATTAGTGTTTATAGAAAGAACTTCAACTTACTACTACATATTGTTGTTGATTCGCGGAATTTGCTTGAAATGTTTTTCAATAAATTTCTTTTTTCAAGTCACTTCTTTTCAAAATATTTTTTAGTTTTAATTATTTTACATAATAGACGCAGAAGAAAAAAACTTGTGCAACATGTGTTGTAAAAA